AAAAAAAAAAAAAAAACAATGTAATTCACATGCTATATAACATGTTTAATGTTCTATAATTTTAAATATGAACTATATATGTGATAAGTTACAGTGTAAATAGAGGTGCATATCATCATCTAGATCTTAAAGTGTTAAAACAAAAATGACAATATTTTTTTTACTTGATATGAATTTTTATACAGCTATTTTTGTTAGCAATATGAATGAAGATAAATTCACATATTTTTTAGTTAAAGTTTCAGAAAAATTGAATGTTATTAACTAATAATAATTACTATCACTTTTATATTATTTATGTTAACATTTATACTTATGTGTAAGGAATGTTTTGTATTGTATAAACATAATACATTAATTTTGTTGGTTGTATGGGCTAGGTTAATTCATATTTATTTAATTCAGTTTACATTATAATTTGTCTTAATACTTTTGGTTAAACGGTTTTAAATAATACATGCATTTATTATCAATGATTAACAACATATTTTTCTTTGTTTTAGTTTCACTTATAAAAATAAATGCATGTGATATGTGTATTTATTGATGGTTTATTTGAAGCAACRTGTTTTTTATATTCATACCAAATTTGTTTTCGAAAATATCTATGGTTTTCTATTATTATTATTTATTACCTTATAAATGGTAGTGATTTTATATTTATGTCCATCTAGTTCTAGGTATGATGCTTAAAAGTTAAAAGAGATATCATTTTAAAGCTATTTTGTTAGTGTATCTTAATTTCTTTTTTTTTATCAAATCTTCATAATAAATCCAACCTAATATTTATCTTTCATACAATTTCTATTTCAACCATTAACAGCATTATACATATTTATGAAATTCTCACCTGTAGCTTACTTTTCTAAATTGTCCACAATGTCTTAAACACTTTATTTTAAATTTGTAGGTCTAGTAATGAGAGAAAAAATTACTAATATTAAAAAAGTTTTTAACTAACATTGAAGTTATGTTCTGGTTCATCATCTGCTAGTAAGCAATAAGCATAACTACGCAAGACAGTTGCAAATAACCTGTATGATTTCTAAAGAAGTCATACAATGTGAACTTTTAGTAATTTAGTACTARTGGATWTCTGTTGCGAGCTGACCGGTTATAAACGTAATACATTGATAACTATAAACCATCATGGATAATACGAGAATTCTTATATTATCTGAAGCGATAACTAACACAGGACTTTGACGTTCGAACCGAAACGTAGGAGGTTTGTGTACTGTGTCTGTGTATGACTTTGAAAAAGGTGTCAACAGGTGTCACACCTGGTTGTTTTCCCATGGGTGTTAGATGCATCTAACAATCCAGACACCAGACACTTGTTGATTTACGAGCATTCAGAGCAGAGCGATCATGATGTATTCGTGAAAACCAAAAAAATTTATTTGTTTATTTATTAAGAGATCTTGTTAGTGGTTTTTTTGCCGAAGAAATGACGGACACCTGCTATGACGCTGTAGACCTTTTGCAAGTTACATTGACGAAATCGAAATTTCAATCGAGAATATTGGTCTTAAGTTTCAGAAATTTTGACACAATTCAAAAATATTCGTGGAGATTTGTATACGTACAAGTAGTTAAGTTGTTATACTTAATTACATGCTATGAAATTTTCAAAATATATATTTTAAGTTATTTACCTAACAGGCACGGATTGAGCCAGCGGGACGCCTGGAGTTTTCCCGGTGCGCCGGGCTACTAGGTCGTACTTTTTTTTTTAGAATAACAGATTTTAATAATTATAATTATAATTTTAAACCATGTGTAGCTAGCATGGACTTATAGTAATTTAGGATTGACATACAAATATCTTTTAACACTGCCATCGACTCAGGTACATATTATATATTTTGCAAAATTATTTAAATACAATATAAATATTGATTCATACCATTTGCGTTTTGCGTAGGTAGCATGTGAGCGAACATTTTCGACATTAAAATTTATTAAAAACAGATTAAGGAGCAAACTATCAGAATCCAAACTAGAGGCATTTATGTCGGAAAATAAKTACCTACTTTATAATATAGACACAGATGACACAATCAATAAAGTAGCTATAGTATACCTCTAAAACATTAACTAAAGGATTAATGCATTAATTGGTTACAAATATATTTGTGTAACCAAATTTGAGTATATTTTTTTTCATAAAGTGCCGGCTTAGGTATACAGGTTTCCCGGGCCGAAGTTTTATCCCAATCCGTTCCTGGTACCTATTAAAAGCTAATGCCAATTTTTGCCGCATAACTAAATTAAAGATAATTCCAATTAGCAATACATATAAGGGGCTGGTCACATAAATATTTTGTAAATCCGTTATTTAAGTAATTGAGTGTCCATACTTAATAGCAGTGGCGTCCACAGAGGGGGGGCTAACGGGATGAAGCCCCCCCCCCATTACCCTCATAAGTATTACTTAAAATGTATCAAACTTCAACTGTCGTCAGCTATAGTAAGCAAGACGAAAATTAATAAACGTCTTACCAGAATAAATTCATTTWAAAAAAAACATTGATTTGCATACCAATTTTCCTAAAAAAATTAGTAATTTTTTGGTAAAAGTGTGAACTACTTGTATGAATGACCTGTATTGAATTTTCAAGCCTTAGCTATACAAATTTAATATTTTATAAATTTTAATCTACAATTAATTAATTTTTCTGGTTTTGTCAAAAATTGAACTATAAATAATGCTTATAAAAACTAATCGTGCCTATATGTGTTGTTAATATTTTTAGATAACTAGGTATAATATTACCTTGTATTACATTTTAAAGCTTTTTGACCGAACGAATAATTCTTTATTGACATTTTTAGAAAAAAAACCAAGGTTACTAAACAATTTTTYGTTTATTTTTGGTTTCCCGATTGTTTTAAAAAAATACTAAGAATTTTCAATTTTGACCTCTCAAATTTCAAACTAAATCCAATTTGCTTCCAAAAATAGGGGTATCGAGGTTTATGATTAGAGCATTGAAGTTGTACAAACATTTTCAAATACCTCACCTAAACGTCTACAATTATTAGAATAGGGGTGGAGTGGCAGAGCGGACTAAGGCGTCGGTTGCGACGCACGCAGTCGCCGGTTCGAATCTCGGTCACGGGCGGCATCGCTCTTTGGGCATTTCGCGATGTCTGGAGAGAGAGGCYGYCGRCCCCCAACCGGGCATGGCAGAAACCCACGGGTGCCCATTCAAAATTCTGCCAAAAATCCACGAGTTAAAACCTTACAGTATCTTCCCCTACAGTTCCCCAGGCTAATGACCTCAGTTGTCGAAGTAGTAATTAATTTTCAAGCCCCCCTTCCTCCATTGAAAAATCCTGCGTACACCACTGCTTAATAGGCACTCATTACTACATATAACGTATATCATCTATAAATCGAGTGGGAGGAAAGGGGATATAGTCCTTAAATATATTATACTATAAGGTACTTAAAGTAGCGTATAGTATTTATATCTTTATAAAACTGTTTTGTGCTTTATAGTTAAACTTGATCATGGTAGTTACGCAGTAATTTAAGCTGACGAATCATTGAATTCAAATTTAACACATCCATTAATCATTATTCAACTATAATGTACATTTGACCACAAGTCCACAACTGTACGTACAGTTATGTCTTATGTGGTTACATAGGTACTTGMTTGGTTACTTGCTTTTTATCACTCATTTTACTCGTGTTAATTTATTTTCTATGCATTTGCCTGTGTTTGACCACTGAATAACCATCCATTAACGATATTTTAATAGTTACCTAACATATTTATTTATTGGGTATAAAAATCGAATTCGACTACACAGTGCCCGGTTTCCATTAAAAGTTTTATACTTCTCAATGCAATTAATTTGCTTCTTAAAAGCATTTGCTATTTGGACTTTGGGTACTTTCAACAAAWTGTTATAGCCGGAGCCTATATGATTGATACAGATGCTGCGTGTGGGCTACGTTTTGCTGTATGGGGGCTAGTGGGGCTACGTTATGTGAAAAGTGAAAACAGTACGGCACTACACGGCCTGAAGGCCTCCATGTGTGGTGATGCATAACATAAAAAAAGAATTGATTCAGCGACAAAG